TAATATTAACCGGCATGAACCGGCACAAACCGGTATGTACCACCGGTCGAACCATTCTACTTGCTAAACCGGCACACTGGCATAAACCGGTTTGACAACCTTGCACATATTGCTTTCTCACTTGTCAGGATTCTGAACCTTCCTTCCACGCACATGGCTAGCTGTTCACTTTTATGACCACATACGCTGCTTGATTGTTCAGTGCCCAATTGGCAATCAAGCAATCAACAAAAGCGGCATTATTATTAAGTTAAAAAGAAATGATAATAATAATAATAATGAAATGGCTATGAGAAACGAAAATACCAAATTTCAATTTCTCATTTCAACTGTGTCTGTCACATTCTGTATGTGAAATCCTCCTTTTACCCCTCTTTTCTTTACAAAAGTGGGTAGAAAAAGGGAATTGAGTCTCTCTCCAAGGATTTGAGTGTCTTTCCCCAGACTTCATCCTTGGAAGCATTACACTCCTAATAATAACTAAGTACTATTAGTAATAGACTTAAGTACCCCCCCCCCCTCTGCCTCTCTCTCCCAGTGTGTGTATATTTTTACTATTTACAGTGATTGTGAAAACACAAATTGGGTGGGGCCATCAAGAGGAGGAGATTATCGCCACCAAAAATCCCCCCCTCTTTTTCACTACAGCCCCCAATTTTAAATTTACTTTTCTTTTAACCTTTTTACTGGTACAAAATTCCACACCCACACAGATTGACACACCCACCCCCCTTCACACAGCCACACACTTTTACATTTTGGAAAATAGTAATTTACGAAAAAACAAACAAACAAACAAGTCCGCGCCGGCGAAAGCGAATTCCTTCTTCTCAGTTGCCAGCTGCGACGGGATTTTGATCTCCAGCAGTTGGCGCCGGAGAGGAACCGAGGAGATCCGGCTTCAACTTGTTGAGCCACGTCTCCTTGTAGCTCCCGGCGTCGCCGGCTACTCTCCTCCCCTCCACGACAGACAATTCGTCGGTCAAACGGTAGATTTCGACCTCGAATTTCACACCACCGTTGCGCCCTTCCAGCTCCACCCCGTACAGCTTCTTCCTCTTCAGTCTCAGCCGCTCCGACCGGGCGAATTCCAGAACCTTCTCCAACAACCTCTCCGGGGACTGAGCGGTCACGAATCGGTCGCCGTCCTCCATCGAATTGTAGGTGTTGTCGAACAGGCCGGTCAGGTTCAAGCCGGATGAGAACGAAATCAGATCGAACGCGTTCAGGCTGCTGCTGCTGCTGGTGCTGGCCTCCGACGCGCTCTCCTTGTAATCGGAATTGAACTTGTCGGCGGTCGTGAATTCCTCGTCGTGGAACCTGATCGGCTTCTTGTGGCCCTTGGTGAACCACGGATCCGTGAGGATCTCGTCGACGGTGATCCTCGCGGCGGGATTCGTGTCGAGGAGCCGGGACAGAAACCGTTTCAGATCTGCGGACATCCATTTGGGGCAGCGGTACTCGCCTTTGTAAATCTTCTTGTACATTCCCATTAAATTCGGATCGCTGAAGGGTAAATACCCTGCCGTCAGGACGAAAAGGATCACGCCGCACGACCACACGTCGACCTTCGCTCCGTCGTACCCCTTCTTCCCGAGGATCTCCGGCGCCACGTAGGCAGGGGTGCCGCAGAGCGTGTGCAGCATCCCGTCGGCGCGGATCTGGTTCGCGACGGCGCTGAGGCCGAAATCGGAGACCTTCAAGTTGCCGCTCTCGTCGAGGAGGAGATTCTCCGGCTTGAGATCGCGGTGGAACACGCCTCGGGAGTGGCAGTACCCGACGGCGGAGATCAGCTGGCGGAAGTACTTCCTCGCGAGGTCCTCGCTGAACCGGCCCTTGGAGATCTTGGCGAAGAGCTCGCCGCCCTTGACGAACTCCATGACGAAGTAGATCTTGGTCCTGGTGGCGAGGACCTCGTGGAGGCGGACGATATGTGGGTGACCGAGGCGGCGCATGATGGAGATCTCGCGCTTGATGTTGTTCATCATGGAGGGGGTGGTGATCTTCTTCTTGTTGATGACCTTGACGGCGACGCTCTGGCCTGTGGCGATGTTGCGGGCGTGGTAGACCTTGGCGAAGGCGCCGCAGCCGAGGAGCCGGCCGAGCTCATACTTGCCGAACAGGGCGTGATCGGCGACGCGCTCGATGTCCTGCATCGGTGGCGGCGGAGCTGGAATTGGATTGTGCGCGCCAGGGATCGAACCACACTGCGGCTGTGTGGCTCGATCAGGGGGGGAAGCCGCGGCAGAGGGGAAGAGAGCGGAGAAACGGTAAAAGGAGAATGGAGAAGAAGAAGGAGAAGAGAGGGGAAACTGAGAAACCGAGGAAGCAATTGAATGAAGAAGGTGATTAATAGTGTGCAGAGCGGAATTGGGGTTGCCGGAGGAACAGGAGATTTGGAAGAAAAGGAAAGGACGATCGGGAGAAAATATCGCAGGCGAGAAAATAAATATGTGGTGAAGAGTGGAGACGGGGTTTTATCAGGAAGAAAGAGGTAAAAAAATCTAGTCAATAATATATATTTAATTGTTTTTTAAATGTTAGTGAAGCTAAGCTACCTTTTTTGGCAGATGGGGGCTCTCTTCTCTTTCCTTTTACGCGGTTCTCCGAATATGCTGAACTGAAATTCAACCCTTTTCCGTTCTCTGTCGGGCTGTCACTTCCATTTTATTTGCCCGTTCATTTACAGCGTGTTGTGCATGTTCTTCATTTAGGACCGTATTAGATGATTATCCAAAGTGTTGGCGTAGTAGCTTTCACCTTTAATACGAAATGATCACTTAATTTCTACTGTAATCAAAATGATGGCTTGACTTTGAAATTTGTAACGAAATCATCCCTAGTTATGTCCATTTTCATTTCAAATTTTGTTCAATGTGACTCGTCAAACTGATAGGAAATATTTTTTCAGATAAAAAAAACTAATGAAAATGCATCAAAGCGCACCTAAACTCCGAACCACTACATCGCATCCATGGGCAGTTTGGAAAAGAAAGTCAATGAAATATTTTTTTGGTACAATTAATAAAGGTACAACTCCATTTTGGAAAAGAAAGAATTGTGACCATTATGTATAAATGTTTTAAGTTAGCAAATCATTTTGTATAAGTGACCTTTATTGTGAGCCTGGATGAATTATTTTGTTCCCATTCTTTGTTTATTGACTTGCCATTTCTTTTTCTTTCTTTGCAAGGAAATAGTGGAACAAGAAGGACCGTTGGTGAAGGTTGAACCAACCAATTGGGTGGTGAAGGTTAAACCGGGCAAAGGAGGGAATTTCTTTTCTTCTGTTCTCATTTTTTGTCACAAGGGGAGGACAGGTGTATTGTCGAGTTGGGTAGGGTGTAGGTTAGGGGATTTTTTTCCCCTCTGATTTTAAGTAAGTTGGGATGAAGATGAAAATACGTTATTTTATTTGACTGTGGAAAATTTATGCTATGAATAAAACAAGGGGAAAAGAGGTTGGCACAAATTGGAAAAGGAAAAGTTGAATAAGTGAATAAGGCCACAACCCACAAGAGTTCAAATTTGAAATACAATGGCGGACTGGGGGAGCCTTAGGGGTCGTTTGGAAATTGTGATTCTTCAAATTGATGTATTAGGTCAATTAGTGTATTATCATTTGATGTATTGATTCAATGCATGTATTAAGAAAATACTTTGTTTGGAAGAGCAATGATGAAACAAAAAGTAGGGTAGACAATCCCTCATTAACAATCTCACCTTTTAGTAGAGATTTATAATCATTCATTTTGAGTGATTGTAGGTGGGCCCAACAAAAAGGTAATGCATGCATTCTAACTCAAAGTGAACCAAAAAAACAACTTAATCTTATCATTACATGTATTTGCTAAATACCTCACTTCAAATCTCAACCTCCAAACGACCCCTTAGAGCTAGCTAATTGTTCGTATGGTTGTTTTTAGTGAGAATATGATCACTGGCTTAAGTCATTATATTTGTCCGCAGCAGGTAGCAAGTAAAGAAGTATTAAACTAGTTGACGTGATTGATCCATAACTTGGACTTATTTTGATACAAATTAGGTTGTGTTTTAAAGGACTGTAACGGTGCTTCACATGAATATAAAGTAAACATGTGCATTTATGCGGCACAACAATGAGAATCGTATACCATGATATGATAAAGTCGTCACGACATAATTGAGATCATCGATTGCCTTGTCTTTGTTACTATAGTTAGGATATCAAAATTTTGATTCGAACACAATTGATCGAACATGACCGGATACTCGCTAATCGTGGCAATGTTGCTAAAACCACAAGTCATCGACAATAACAAAGATACTCGCCAATCTTGACAGTATTGCCAAAACCAACCGTGTCAATCCCACCATCCACATTCAGGGGCGTAGGCATGATTTTGTCGAGGGTGGGTCCATTTAGAAAAAAAAAATAACTATGATGAAATAGTTTTGTTAGTTTTTAAATCGGGTTAATTGCAAGGATGGTCACTGGGTTTACTAAAACCGTTCATGTTTGGTCACTACAAATATTTAATTCCATTCATGGTCACTAAGATTAGTTCAATAGTTCAAGTTTGGTCACTCTCCGTTAGTCTCCATTAGTTTTTGCTGATGTGGCAGTCAATTATTATAGTTGACCATTAAATGAGTGACGTGGCCATTAAAAAATAATAAAATTCAAATATTTATAATTTCCACCTCATTTTACAACTATTAAAAAATAAAATAAAATAAAAGCTCTAACGGATCATCACCGCCGAGCTGTCCCCCTAACTGTTCTTGTCCTTCTCCTGTCGCCCTCCGAGGCATTTGCTCCTTCCGCAACAAGTCACTTCCCAGTCTTCACCGAACATAACAAACACGATGTTCACTCCATGGGAGGCTTGGGTTCTATTCTTTCTACCCCTTCTGTCGAGTTGTGTGGGGGGTACAGAAGCTAAATTTCCCAGCACCCCACCCGCCCGGCGCCGAGCTCCGTCACTTCCACTTACAAAATAATCAGAAACAACTCCTCGCTGAATTCCAATCCGATTTTCGTCACCGTCAATTGGTCCGGTTGCGGCGGAGGAGACGGGGTGTTTTCAATCTCGGTAACGGACAAACTCCCTTCTGCTTCTAATTTGCCGGGTCGCCATTTTCGAAAACCGAAAGGGAGCAAAGAATTCGAAGCCTGCGGTTGCAGAATCGAGCTGCTCTGGAACCTCTCCCCTGCTTTCTACGATGCAGGGCCCGAACCGGTTAGTGGGTTCTACATCGTCGTATTGATTGATTCGGAACCCGGGTTGTTCCTCGGAGACGTCGAGGAGATCGAGGACGAGGAAGGCGAGGATGGGTTCCGGCGAGGAGGGGTAGACAGGGAGAAGATTCTCCTGGCGGCGGAGCTCTCCCCTGTTTCCCGGATTGATAAATTCGTCTCCGGCGGGTCGGGTCGCGGTTCGTATTCGACTCGGGCGCAATTCAGCAGGGTGGGGGAAATGCACGACGTGATGATCAATTTTCGGGACTGGGGGTGATCAGTCGGCGGCGGCGGCGGGGATGTCGGTTTTGATCGACGGGCGGCGGGTTTTCGAGGTAAGGAGGTTGATGTGGAATTTCCGCGGGAATCAGACGATTTTCTTGGACGGGATTGTGGTGGACGTGATGTGGGATTTGCACGACTGGTCTTTTAAGGAAACAGGGGAAGGAGAAGCAGACGGCCGTGGCAGAGGAGGATGTACGGCGGCGGCGGCGGTGTTTTTGTTCAGGACAAGAAGCGGATTGGACAGCAGGTTGTGGCTGGAGGAGAAGATTCTTGAGCCTGGTTGTAAATATTTTTATTTTTTTATTTTTTTAATGGTCACGTCACTCATTTAACGGTAAAACTATAATAGTTGACTACTACATCAGCAAAAACTAACGGAGACTAACGGAGAGTGACCAAACTTGAACTATTGAACTAAACTTAGTGACCATGAATGGAATTAAATATTTGCAGTGACCAAGCATGAACGGTTTTAGTAAACCCAGTGACCATCCTTGCAATTAACCCTTTTTAAATCATTTGTGATAAATACAAAAACTTGGTAAATTAAATATATGTCGAAATTATTGAGAATATATCACTCTATAGGTATCAAACAATTATTCATTATTTAGTTAAACATTTGTTTTTGAATGATGTTCTTTGTGAAGACCGTTTAGCATCAATAGTGTGAGTTGTTGGGAAAGATTTAATAATGAACCTTATACTATTTAGTATTTACTGACATTTTCCCGCTAATGAAAATCAACGTATACGTGCTTAAAGTTTTCATAAATTCGAATATCATGTGCTTAACAAATGGGGTTGCCAAGATTCGAACACATGATCTCTCGGCCAACCATTCTCAATTAGAAGTGCTCTAAATTTCATTAACAATTAACAATTATACTAATTTATTCATTTTCTTCCTTAGGAGCCGCCGTTACACTCTCCCTACCCCTAATTGAAATAAAATTATTTTTACAAACTAGCTATGATTTGGTGAGAATTTGTTGTGGATATTGAATAAGTACATCTTTAATTTTGGGCGGATCATATGCACCATTATTATTTCATTACTTGTACACATCTCGTTATAAAAATATTGAATATGCCAATACACAACTTATAAATCATAAATCAAATAAATCATAAATCAAATATTTAAATGTTAACCATCTCATTTAAATACATATTATTTTTCATAGTCGATTAAATATTATACTGAATTTATAATTTTTCTTCCCAAGTCAGGATCGGTACATCCTCTAACCCTCTCCCCACCGCCCTTGCTGGCTTGCTCACATTATCACCCTTTTCATGGCCAAGTAGGGCTATTAAGGCTTCCCAATTCCCATAATCACCCAAATTATGGAAGGTATAAATTATTTTCTTAACTCAATTACGTAAACTATGTAACTTGGTAAGTTCATCTTGGTAGCTTGAGTCACATGATTCTCAACTTACTGGTATTTGTCATTTCGTATTAATTTAATTTTTTGGGCGTGATAATCTTGAAAATTCGAGACGTCCCGATTGACAGCACAGAATGAGGTTTAGGCATTCATTCGTTGATTTATTTTTGGACCGTGCAAGTGGGCAGTGGTAGATGCAGGAGGACAGTGACATCTCGACACCTGTCCTTCTAATTAGGACGAAAGCAATTAATAAAAGAATTAAATATTGTACCGGCAAAATGCAAATGTAGTTGATACCGGATTTTAAATATTATGGACAGCCAATGGGATGGCAAGGTCGGCGCCTGATAATTGACCTAACCGGACACCGCGGCTGCCGGTTTAACGGAAATTCGTTAGGCAAGCATATGCGACGCCACGGCGGACGTCATATTATATACGTTTATGAGTAAAATGAAAAAAAAATATATTTTTATTTATATCATCAGAGTTGGAACATGATGCAATGGAAACCCCACGAAGAAAAAAGATGAAGAGCTTTTGGCTTTTGATGGATAGTGCATGACGAAATGAGGGCACATTGAAACCATTTATGATAAGAAAACGTATCGTTGTAACTTCTAAGAATTTATGAAGAGAGTCAAGGGCAAACGTATGCCTGGGTTGATGAAGCGCTCCATCTTGGGTTTTTTTTTTTTTTTTTTACAAAAGATAGATTATATATTGATTAAAAAGATAGATCATTACATTCTGGAATTTAACCAGCTTCTAAAATCAAAAGAACGACATGTAGTCGGGTACAAAGAAAGGGCCCTGCGAGCCACCAAGTGGGCTACCCTATTACTACTCCGACCTACAAACCGTACACAGAACGTCCCCTGACTTGCAAATAACAAGTCAAGAGGAAAAACAAGAAAATCACGGGACGCACCCCGAATTTGAACCTCAGACTTGGGTAATCAAGGGGATGTTAGATGTTGAATGTAATAGATAATAGTTCTGTTAATTGCGAGTGATCGATGGATTGTGAATTATGAGGTGGAGTGGTAAACTTGGACTTTTCTAGTTATCTTCGACTTGCTGTTGTGTCGTATCAATCTACAATAGGAAGTTGGGATTAATTACGTGGTTACTTACTTAGCTAACATAATGTCACCGTCAAATATGACAGGCTGGGCAGAATACATGCAGCAATTAGGCATTTGCATCAAAGAACCCAATTTATACCTCATGATATCAGCACACTTTTAATTTGTTTTCTCAATCATAGACAAATTACTGATCAGAGGGTGGCCTACAGATTAGACAAATAGCTGTATTATAATTAATATACAAATTGTGATTTCTCCTGGTTCTGGACATTTGTTGAGGTCCAGCTCATGCTATTGGATTTTAGCTGGTTTATAAGTTGCAATGCAAGTGGGTAGGTTTGGAGTTTGCCATTTGGTTTGGAGCTATCGGTATATAATCTTCTCTTCTTTGCTTGATATCTTTTTCCAATCTGGGCCTAGTTGTTGTCTTTCGCTTTTTGTTCTTCTATTTTTTGGGGAAGCTGATGATAAATTTGGTGACTTATCATCGTGATTTACTGATTTGTATTAATAAAAAAAATAGATCACTTATATGTTGCGGTCGATCTCATGATGAAAAGATCGAACATAGAAATAAATTGACCAGTCACACCATGTAGCGGTCAACAGGTTAGGACTAAATATATTTTCGTAATTTTTACCAACGTTGTGGAGAGAGTGCTCTCTAAAGATAATGAATCCCGTGATTTCACTTGAAAGGTAAACCGGACTTTCGGCATGGTCGGCCTGTTGATCTACACGTGTTGCACCAACAACTACATTTGATGTTCACGAGTTTTTTCTTCTTAACCGACGTGTTGAATATCCACAATATTTTATTTACGAGGTTGTTAGAGTGATAAACTAATAAAATTTATTGTTACTTACAGAGGTTTATGTTGCTGTTAACTAGGGTTAAGTGGTTTCAAAGTCGTTGTTTAGTACTGAAACATTTCTGGTGGTGGAATCTTGTTGCAATACTAATGAGGTAATGGTCAATAGGCCGACAATTTCGTTTCCTGGTCAATTTTTGTTTTCTTTGTAATTGTACAATTGTGTCATCCAATCGCAATTTCCCAAATATATGATCACTTTTTTCTTTGTATAATGGTGCAATTGTGTCATCTAATCGGCCATTTTGTCCAGGTTACAAGGCATCGTAGCAAAGTCCTGAATTGGTGTTTCCATATGAGTTGAATTTATTATTAGGATAAAAAAGTGATTTTACATTTTACAAGTCTAACAAGGGGTGGCACCATGTAAATCATGAGTTATGTTTAGTAGTACAATTATAGTTGTATAGTTATCATTTTTTTTTAGTTGCGAGACTACAACTCAACTCATGAATACTATGTTAGCACAATATTTGGTCCTGCGAACTCCGCTCATATATGTTATAGAAAAATTTAAGATCAACATCGTGAAATTAGAATAATCACATCGGTTAGAGGGAGAGAGACATGAATTAATATGAACTCGAATAACCAAGTTACGAGTGTCTCTTTATTACTTGTACTAAATGCTTGGTGTCTGTCTATTGGATGTAATATTGTTCGTGCCCGGTAACTAGGCGCCCCGAACCTCCGCGTACGACCGTCCTAGCTCGCTCACACCTGCACACAGCCCGGCTGAACTGAGTCCCAGGGGGGACTCGTTAGCACTCCGACGCCCAAGTCAGTTGCCCTTTCTAGAGAGAGAAGTGAATAGTAATTTTAGAGAGAAGATCCAACCTGAGTAAATGAGGTTCACCAACTCCCTATTTATACCTCGGGCCTGGCCGACCGACATCCCCGACTCCCGCCTGTCGCCTGACTCGCATTAAATGTGCCGTACAACCAAGTCCTATGCGCCTCGACCACCTGACACCGTGCTCAGTCCGTCGAGGCGCATGACGTCAAGTGGTCCTCCCCCCGTACCTTCCTTCCCGTTGCTCCCTCCTGTCGTATGCGCCCAGTGTCAGAGCCCGGGCCCCACCTGGCCTGGTGCTCCTCTCTGACGAACGGGCCGATTCCCCCAATGCCCCCTTGGGCCTATTGGGCCGTACTCCACTATCTAGCCCAGCCTATCCAATCTTACTCTCTTGGGCCCTGCAAGCCCTACCCTCTTGGGCCGCGGCCATGCCCCCAACAATTGCCCCCCCAGTCTGGCGCCTATGGCCTTTTCGTAGGCGCCTGACTGGACTTCTTGCGCGCCCTTCTCACTCCTTATGCGCCTTGCCCCCGTGCGAATCACTCCCCACTCGTCGCTCCTGCGCGCCTCGCTTCCTGCCCGGTCATGCTCCCTTCGGCTTCCCTCTCCTTAACCGTCATCATGGGGTTCTTGGGACTCCCCCCCCTTTGAGACCCTTGGTCTTCCCTCTTACCCGTTTATGTGACCCTTGGTATCCTCCCCCTCAGTGGGACTCTTGGGTTTCCCCTATTACCCCCCCCTAGTCCGTTTGGAAATTTGAATTTCGAATTTCAAACTTCGAAACGGACTAGCACACTCTCTTGACACTCCCCTCTCACTATAAATACTTCCTCCCC